TAATACCATTTTTTCTCCCCTTCCCTCCTCAGTCAAATCCATTCCCTTCCCAAAATATAGGTTGGGTTTCCCAATGACAGCATCTCATCAGCTCCCTGACCACCTCACCTAGACTGAGAGCCGAAGACAGAAGGTCTAAATTTACACAGGAAAGATCAAAGATGCAGTCCTGAAGAGAAGTCCTCCTGTCCCACAGCCTGTCTCTCTCACAGCTCTCAGTCCCTTTCTATCAATGTGCTTCATTTGCAGGGAATCCCACCACTCCTGCCTTTTCTCCCTTCTTTCCATCAGTTCGCCAACTTCCCTAGTGAAAGGAAGGTCACACTGAGTACTTGAAACTCTGCCTTGTGCATAACTGAGCRGCTCACTGCCTACCTCCTATCTGCATTTCAGCTGCAAGCAAGCAAAACAAAGCAAAGCAGAGCCACCTCAGGTGGCCCTTTCAGATGGCATCCTCATCACAGCTCCATAGCACTAAGTCCCTCTAACGAAATTTGGTCCATTTTGTTTCTATGGACGTGCCACAGGACAGGAGATCAAGCTCCCAACTCTTGATCTCCAACCCTCCTCTCCCATTAGGAGGCTCTAGCTACAGAACCATGAGTAAGGCTGGGTAGAAATTTACTGCCCCTTTCATTGAAGTTACATTGAAATCTCATCCCTGGGTCATATGGAACAGGRTATTATTCACAATCATGGATTCAACTCTGAGGCTCAGTTACCTACAAGTACACTCATAACCGTTYTAAGAGAATCTGAAAAATAATAACTAGACACCAAAACAGGTGTCCCCAACCTCCTTGTAGCTCCTAGATGTCACAAGCTTTTCTCTATCAAATCAGTGCATAATAAGAGCATAAAGAGATGTGAGAGACTTGGCCCCGCTACAGAAAAGCACCTATATCAGGACTTGCTTTGGGTCTATCATGCATGTGCAACATAAATAGTGACATTTTGGTCAAGAGATACTTATTTTTAACATAACCTGCCACTGGCTTCCTCTTTGCATCAGATGACTGTTCTGTTTGGCCAATCCTAACTAAAATATTGCTCCTCTGAACAACTCTTTAATGTGTCTGAGGCTGTATGAATTATCCTCAATTCCAGACAATGTTTTGTTCCTGTGCCTCCTCAGCCACTCTGAGTACATTAATTGGGAGAAAAGGCCTTGACCTAAAACACTGTATCTCTCATACAAATTAATTGGTTGGTCTGCAAAGAGAAGACTAATGGTCTACAGGATTAAAGGGTAAAATACTTGGCAGATTTTCTGAAGTGCACATCCTCTTAAATTTTCCCAGCATTTCATCATTTCCTACTATGCAATAGCTTTTCCAGAGGAAATAAATCAGAAAGTTGCGTGCTAAAACAGCAATGATTGAGTTTCACATCATGTTGGCTTGTACTTCAGCTGTCACTTTTGCAAAAGACTTATGGTAACATGTCAATATGCTTGTACAAAAACAAGGAGACCTTAGGCAAAGGATAAGCTTGGGAGAGGGTAGCATATGAGTTACTGGCCACCTGGACCGTCAGGACAGAGCCTCAGGGGTGCAGGAAGAGCCCCAAGCTGGAGGCATCTCTCTTGGAGCTGCCTCAAGTCTCTTTCCTTCTGTATGTGCCAATCTGTGCAGCACAGTTGAGGGATGAGATATATAGTAAAACAGGACACAACTTATTCTATCCTGGCTGGTGAAGGTTCCTCACACGTGGAACCAAATCCTTCGAAACTCAGCTGCAGACAGGAGCCAGCTGCACTTACAGCTCACAAAYACAAAGCAGAAAGTCAGCAGAGACCGCAGAGAGCACCTGAGAGGAGGAAAATACAGACACAGATGAGGCTGTGCAAGAGGGAACGGTCATCGACAGCAAGTTGTTCAATATTTTCTAGGCATCGCTTTTTAAGGACTGAAATACAAAATAGCACGTAATTGTTAACGACACTGAAAGAAGAAAGAGAAAAAAAGGAAATTAATTCCCATTTTCAGAAGTACCAGTAAAAAAAGAAAATGTAAACATTAACATACCTTCTTAGACTCTGATATAGAACACAAGAAATACGAAAAATCAGATTAAGAAGCCAAAGACTAAAGTGTGGCTTGCTATGGGAGAGTGTACTTGGGATTTTCTTCTATCAGCTTCTTACTTTTATTAAGAAATATATTTAATAAAATAGGAAATTACTTAAAGTGTACAATTTCTGTATTGAATTTCTTGTGTGAGCAAATGGAGAAAAGGCATTTTTTTCCACAAGTTGAGCGTTTCACTAAACACATGCAGAAACTTTTCATCACAGATTTACTTAAACACATGCTGGGATATTGTTGCGCACCAAAAAATAAACATCTTGTCAAAATTTAGTAAAAATACGGAAACGGTTCTGGAAAGAAAAAAAAAGCCAGCTTCAAACATAGAGAATTTACACATGTTGAAATGTCTTTTGAAAGTAACAACTTGACGCTCCCGTTGCTCAGTAAAGACCTAAATATTCTCTTAGAAAGATCATTTGGAAACTTCACCAAAAATAGGTTCGCAAGTAGGTTTTGATGCTTTGATCAAGAAATGGCATGTATATCTATCAAGATTTTATAATATATACATAAAAAAAAAGGGAGCTGTAAATATTGCATTTGTTGTTGTGGCACGTAATTCTGTTGTGCAATGGACCCCTCRAGTAAACCTCTGCAATACATTTCATTAACATTCACCTGTCATCCTTCCTTATTTTCTCCTTCACTGCTTATGTACCCTGAGTGTCTAAGGAGACTCTCTGACTTTAATAAAATTCATTCCAAGTCTTGGAGGTGCTCAAGAGTTTTCCCAGCTCTRAAGTCTCTGTGGAGCTGGACCTGCTCTTGGGTTTGGGTTTTGCCAACAGACCAAACTCTGCCCTCTATAAATGGTAAAGTTAGGAATATCAGGAAAACCTGCTTTAATAACGAATTAAAGACTATACATTTACCTGTCAAGTCAGTGCTACACAAGCTGCTGTTCTTCGTGCCACAATCAGCTTCCAGAACTGGGAGTAACTGAGACTCATCACTGCTGGGCTGGATGGGAAAGAGCAGCACTGTGCTCCTCTGGGCACAGGCAGGAATAGATCATAAATGTGACTGAGAATTAGCTAAAAGGAATTAAAGAATTATGGGGCCAGACTCTTCTCAGTGGTGGCCACTGATAGCACAAGGGGTAATGGGTCTAAATTAAAACCCAGAAAGTTCCATCTGCATGTGAGGAAGAACTTCTTTCTTGTGATGGTGACAGAGCCCTGGMAYAGGCTGCCCAGGGAGGCYGTGGAGTCTCCTTCTCTGGAGATCTTCCAAAGCCRCCTGGCTGCCACCCTGTGCTCTGGGTGTCCCTGCTGGAGCAGGGGGAGGGACTGGATGATCTCTAGAGGTCCCTTCCAACCTCAGCCCTACTGTGATTCTGTGGAAAGAGGAAACTGCAGCAATGCTGGCGTGGTAGTCAAAGGGCTAGCAGTCAAGTCTCTATTCTCATGCTTCTTCCATCCCAGGAGCCTCTCCACTACAACTAGCGAGAGAAGAATCCAATTTCTTCATTTATTCAGCACTCAGGAAATCAAGTTAATCAGCCTTAAGAGTCAAGAAGTGCTTAATACATCACCAGACATCGTCTAATATGGTCTCTGCAGGGGAGGTGATGAGAAGCAGCAGAGCTTTGTGGGAGCCAAAGACAGAAAAGAAAAAAAAAAAAAAAAAAGAAGAAGAAAAAAGGTTTTAAATATATTTATTTCTGTTCATGAAACCACTGTTCAGGATTCATAACTATTTGATACAGTTCAAGTCCTCAATTAGCTTAGCACTTAAACTTATGTCCAGCTTAGAGCCAACAAAACAGCTCATTTGGGGGCACCCTCTGTGCTTTCCTCTGTCAGGACAAGCTCAGTTTTTTGTATGACCAAGCACAAAACGGGGAAATAACTGCTGGGAAGGAGACAAGAGTGGGCTGGGGACACGGCTGCCCCAAAGACGTGCCTCTGCTATAGATCCTGAGACAACCGCAGGCAATGAAGGCAAAGCCCAATATTCCTGGTTTCCAGAGACACCAACAGCCATTTCCTCCAAAAAAAAAAAGCCAGTCCATTTTATTTTAATTTTGAAAATGCACTGCAGTTAGCACACTCCTTAACTGCACAAGAGCTGTGTTAAACAAATGGGACTAGACCTTCCAKGCAATGGCAAAAATGGCTGCTGTAACAGTGAGTGAGCCAGGAGAGCATCAGCTCCACTCTGCTCCAGTCCTTTGCTGTTCTGAAATACAATAAATAAAACTTATTCTGCTGCTGTCATTCAGAGGCTGAAACTACTCTGCAGAAAATTTGCACCAACATTGCTCTCAGTTTATTGTTTTTCCTCTTGTTTTTCTTCCCGGGGCACCTCCATCCATCAGATCTGGTACCACAACCTGCAGCGACAGAGCCCTGTGCTCTCAAAGTCAGGCACTTAATGGAGCAGGTCAGAGTATTCCAGGTGGGCAACTGTGTCACACTTCAGAGGAGCTTTCAAAGAGCACCGGAGAGCCGGGGAAATTCTGGGAGTTAAAGAACGAACTGTGGTTGTCCAAGTGTCAAGGAAAGAAAAGGAGCTGTGAAGTCCCTATTGGCTTTCCAGCTTTCTTTGAGATAATAAGAAGGACCATGAAGACAGTAAGATTAAATTCCAAGCTGAAAGAGATTCCAGACCCTTAACAGAGGGCAAAATAGGGCTGTTAGACTTGAGGCAATGACTGGGCTCTTTAGGCAGTCAAATTGTTTCACATATCATTGGTTCTTTCCTCCCTGATTCAGTTTCATACTGCAAACGCTTTTATTATAAAATCCTTAGGGTTGGAAGGGACCTTTAGAGATCATCTAGTCCAACCCCCCTGCACACGCAGGGTCACCTACAGCACGGGGCACAGGGCYGCGTCCAACCSGGTTTTGAAGATCTTCAGAGAAGGAGACTCCACAACCACTCTCAGCAACCTCTTCTAGTGTTACCTTCTCCAGTTGTAAAAATCAGATCAGGTCTCTATTCCAGATAGCTACTGGGAGGCTACTGCAGCCCCAGCTGTATAAGTGAAATAAAAGAATGGAGAACCAGGCCCTTTATATTTGAAAAGGGCCCAGCTGATTGCTGGTCTTGCTGATTTCCATGTTGAGCCTTTTATACACTTATTTCTTTCTCCTGCTCCTCACTGCAGCAAAATAAACACCCTGAGTTACTATCTGGTTTTGGCCATTTTTTTCATTAAYACATGCACACAGTGACACATCCTGTTTATAACTCAGTTAATAAATTCAATATATACTGTTTATTGTGCTATTAAAAAAAGAGGTGGCAGTTGCAGCCTGCATTAAAAATACTTCTACATCTGTAAAAACCAGGCAAGGGAGGAAGCAACATAAGCCTACAGCTTTTCCAGAACCACACACCAGTTTCCCTGATCATAGTAACTTTTTTGAACCCTCACACAATCCAAGGCTCTGCAAGCTGCTTCCAGCTCTCCTTCACAGAATACGTGATAATAACGGTGGAAAACAGGGCTGAGTTCCCGGGATTCCTCAGAGGCCACCGGAGACAACAGTTTAGCAGCAACAGCACCTCCCCCCTTCTTTTTAGGGTCACTTTTCAGGTGCCASGGAACCAGCAAGTCTTGAGAGTGGAAGGAGGTTCTGTTGGTGTGAACAGGCAGCACGGAGGCTGCCACGGGTTCTGCATCACGGCCTTTGGCCTCGGAGTCCCTAAGGGGACAGTGGGAGCTCCTCGAGTCCTGGCTGCTGCCATCAGGTGCTCCATCACGTGGCAGTCCCCAGGTGGCATCAGGATTCATCTCCTCCTCCTTGCCTTTGCTATCACTCTTTTCCTTAAGGTATTTAGACTTCTGTTTTCTGTATTCTTGTTCCATTGCCCAGACATAAATGAGGGCTGTTCCACCGGGTCTCAGAAGACGGGCTAATTCACGGATCGTAGCCAGTCTCCTCTCCTAGAAAGGAAAAACAAAAGTGTGAAGCTAGTACAAAAACAGACGTAAGGTGAATGCAAACAGCAGAGATTCCTTCATGCTATCCCTGCAACATGCAATAAGGATAAGAGGAATTTTTTTTCTACTATTCATTTTGGAGAATGTCCTTTCCTGTCTGACATGTATAGTCACATATCATGTATAGGCAAGTATATACACGTATAGGCACATGTAGTGCCATGTTCCATTAACGGCCAAAAAGCAGTAAATAACTTTTCACATAGGCCATCTCTAAAATCATGAGCCAAGCTATTTTCCTGGACATTCTTCTCCTTTCAACTGAAAATAGTGCTGATCAGGATTTCCAGACATGCCAGCCCAGTTGAGAATGTCACATAGTCTCTTCAGAAAAGCTGATCAACATCCACAGTCTCAGGCTCAAATCTACCCCCGCTTGATGATACAAATACACTCTAAGTTCCCAGTCAGGGGAGTCAAATGCATGGMTTAAATAGAGGCCCTCTGACCACCCTCACCAAAGACATGGCAGCTTCCTCCATCACAGACTGCCTCCTACTTTTGCATGCAGTGCACAGAARCATTCGCTGTATTTCGGGTATGGAGATACTATGTGGCTGCCCTGCAGACTGTGGCTCCATTGTGTCAAACTTGCTACAAATGCAGTTTTCTGTGAGGAGAAGCTTATACAGCCCAGGGACTGGGCAGGCAAACAGGCAGCGTCCCTGCTGTTCTTTGCAGAAGGAGAAGGAAGACAAAGAGACCAAAAAAAAAAAAAAAAAAAAAAATCGTGATCACAATGTGTTCCCTGAGCCGGAACGTAACAGCTCCTGAATTGCAAAGCCAGGCCCCCTTCTCCAGTGTCATTTACTGCAAGCAGAACCAAGTGAAACGTGAATGTCCAGAAGGTCGAAGTGCCAGGAGGAGCAAGGGCACCTGATAAGCAAAGGGGGAATGTGAAAATATTTAAGTAGCAGCGCAGCAGCTTAACTCTGCCCTGTCAGTTCCACCAGCTGCAGAACTCCTGTTTCCCCTCACTTTTCTTCTTCTTCTTCTCTTTTACTTCCAAACAAACCAGATTTTTTTGTTTGTTTGTTTTTTAAATACATATAGGGTTTGCATTAAATACATATAGGGGGTCACTCACTGCTGTTGAGAAGTGGTGGATGACGGCAATGGAGATGCAGGCGTCGCAGGAGCCACTCCGGATTGGCACTGCCAGGGCATCGCAGACAAAGGCCTGGAATCCTTTTTCTCCACAAATATCCACAAGGTTTTTGCTGCGATCACAGCCAATCTGTTGCAGAAAGTGCTTCATTAAACTTTTCAGAAGTGGGTAATTGCAGGACCAGAAAAGGATTTTCATTTGGTCCTCACAGTAACAGTCATCTCCATATCCTACTGCAGTAACACATTTCAGTTTAAAATAAAAATGAGAGAGAACAGCCTTAAAAAAGAGGAATGTGTATTTCCTGGATATGGCTTAAAAGGCAAAAAAAATGCTTTTTTAAAACAGAAAGATGGCAGATTGGCTATTAGTTCATTGTAACACTTGGATGTGAATCATTATAAAGCAGAAGAGCTTTGAGACCAACTTTCCCAACAGAAACGGACTCTTTAGGTACCTTAAGACAACAACAGGAACAGAGAAGACCTTCCTAAACTTCAGTATTTTATTTTCCTTCCAATTGCTGTTTATAACCTGTTAAGCTTCCAAATATCAAGCTTGCAGAAGCTGAATCTACAAGTGCCAGTGTGTCTGGTGACTTTGGTGGCACCACTGTGGTGTCACTCGCACAGCTTCACTAACCGCCCCACTGCAGTATAAGTGGGGACAAATTCAGCCACACATCCCCACTCTCAGATCTCCAATACACAGGTTAAACTTCCACAGGCAGCACAACTAAATTTGCCAAGTCCAAATGGTAAGAGCTACAGAAATCCTTTCCCATAAAATACTTCTTTTTACCTTTTTGAATCTTCTTCAGTGTCCAAGTCAGTAAGAAAAAAGCATCAAGAAGAAATTTTTACAAGCTTGCATAAAAACAGTAAATCCAAACTGAACAGTATCCTTGGGTAATAATAAGTGGAGCAAGGAAGGTCTCATCCGTGTTTCTAGATCTGCCATTATTGCTAAATAGAATTCTCAAACCTGCTACCAAGTTATATTTCAAATTGGACTTGCCTGAGAATATGAAAATTACTTTTACTTTCTATAATTGGCTAAATGCAGCCAGCAAAAAACAGATTCAGATTCCTCAGTAATTACTGTAGACAGGCATTCTTTTATCTGATACAGAAAGAATACTAGAATATCCCTGATGGAAGAACAGCAAACAACTTGCTCTAGTTACAAACAACCCAGAAAAGGTGACAGTACTGCTAAAATTCTCTTTTGCACTAACTGATTTTACACACACACACACACACACACACACACACACACACACACACACATATATATGTATACATATTGCATCATAATTCTTTATCAGGTCAAATTCTTTTAGCTTTCAAATCTACAAACACAGCTTTGAAGAACACCATGATTCTGCTCCCATTACAATTCCTGAGCGTGTTCAAGAGAGTTTCAATCTAGTGAGGCCCCTGACTTTTGGTCCAAAGCCCCTAAAAACAGCACTACAGATGTGTACATACTGTCCTGCCCAAATATCTCAAAACAGACCTGAAAAGATCCACTATGATATTGCTTTCTTTCCATTTCTTCACACTCCTCTGGAGTTTACTGAAGCACCAAGTGAATATTCATGAATAGGACTCATGTTTACTTATAAGTAAACACAAATCTCTGCCACTACTCAGTGGAAGGCAACTCAAGTGTCTTTAAATTACTCTCATCACGGACTGGATTTAATTGACAACCTGCATGTTGGAGATTCCACAGCTCATTTTGCCTGTGCCTTCAACTACGTCTGCAATTAAGGCATCATCATTCAGTAATTTAATAAAAATCAAAGGACCAAATTCACTACCACAGAAAGAGGAAGAAGAATATTCCCATCTTCCACTAACACAGGTTTGCTTGGAAAGATGCCTTTGGCCCCCACACGTCTATAGCATGAACTATATGAATTTATATGAATATACATATATGAACTCCGGCTATAGGAGCTCCATCCTCCCTGGCTCGAATGCCCTTGCAAAGGGCTGCCCTGTGCGCCGAGGAGATTCAGCGGACTGTGAGCGGGAGCAAAGGCAGGGCTGCCAGCATGCAAGGGCCTCATTTGCATCTAAATTACATCAAATAATTATGAAGTCAGGCTTCCTTGTAATGTCATAGCCATTAAGGCGAAGCTACATTCAAAGCAAAAAGATTCCATCTTGCAATGAAAGCAGAGACCTTCAAAGGGGCAATCTGAACGCCGGCTGCTCTAAGGTATCCTAGGCCAAACTCCTTCTAATGCAAATATTAGAAGAGGTGCTGTATGTTTATGCATAAGTGCTAAATATGGGGCAACACCACAAGTCTGCTCAGTACCGCAGCTAAGCAGATTTACTATCCTTAGAATTGCCCCTGATTTTTATTTTTAAAGTGTTATAACCACCTTATGTCTGAATTTCTAGTTTACCAAAAATATTAATTCACAATCAATGTATCTGGGGTTCATTCTTTTAGGCAACTGTAAGTCAGCATAAAGCAGCTGACTTCAGCGGTGCAATGCCAGCTTACAGCAAGAAAGCCTATCATTCTTATGAGTATTTGTGGTACTTCTCATAAGGACAGAGATGTTTTATTAGAAAACATTTACAGCAAGAGAGAGACTCAAACTCAATCTTTCCTAATTCTCTCACCTTACTTTCACATGTTGTATCATGATGAAGCTTTGGTACGATGAAGCTTCATATTCAGAAAAATGTTTGAATACGTATTTTAGTTTAGAATGGTTTTACTTTTCCCTCCTTTTTTTCTTTTTTTTTAAAGTAATCAAAATGTTAAAAAAGGATCTTGAAACATAAGTAGAATGCTTTAATTTTTGCCAGTTCATTTTTTGTACATTTGATGCTCAGCACAGGATATTGTCCTGGCTGACATCCTATTTGGAACAATGAGGAAAGTTAGAGGAATTACCATTAGTTTCAGTGCTCAAAAGCAAGAGATTCCAGTCTATTCCCTGGTGAGCTGTATGTATTTTTACAGTTTCCTACCTCCTATCATCTCTGCAAGTCTTCTCCATCATTTTTGACACCTGTCCTCACAGTTTCTCCAAATCAAGCACCTTGCTTGAGCCATCTGATATCTCACATCTATCTCAAACAGCAGGATCCCCTCGTAGCCAGACCACATCTCACCAAGTGTCCCTTCACCTTTTAATATCACAAGTTGCACTGAGTTTACTTCAGGCAGTCATTTCCATAYGTCTTTGGCAGGTACCTTCATACCTTTCCTTACTGCTCTTTTGTTTTGATCGGAACAGATCCCAGAAATGCTCCAGAGCAGACACTGATGCCGACTGGACTCTGAATCCCGTTACGCTTTTTATAGGATTTTTTGGCATCGGATTTAGTTGTCCCCAGATAGAAACTGACTGCATCCAGCTCTTGTTTCAGCCCAGAAAACCTGTCTTGCTGTAAGCCACATTAGTCTGGACATCTGAAACTCTGCACACACAAAGGCGTGTGGTCATTTGCATCTGTGAAACTTTATATTTTGGGCACATAAGGAAACACAAACCTTTAGACAGATTACAACAACAAGAATATTAAGATGAGGAAAAGGGAGGGGACAGAGAAACATTAAACCTGTGACTTGCCTGAGTTTCCAGCAGCTCTGTACTGGATCCCCGGGAATAGGATAACACAGGCAGAATCCCCTCACGATCCTCTGGGCTCCCCTAACCTCAACCCCTCCACTGCTTGGGCCAGGAGCGGCTGCTCTTCAGCAGAGGCCAAAAGAACCTCTATAAAATTTGTCTAGCGGTTTGGAATGGATCTTTTGAGCCCAAAACACACTAAATAGMTTACTTTTTAATGTTACTGCAACACTGCAAAAGATAAAACCTCCTGCAAGCTTAAATAAAGACAGGTCGATACTGCCCACTATTATATATTTTGTCTGTATGCTATCTTATTATAACTAACTCTACCTGGTAGAATTAGTTCATTTAAGTCTCTAGAAACCTGATTGATTTACCTCATTAGAAACTGATGAAGAAAACTACATCTAACTCCGAAATGCAACCACCAAATGAAATTATGTTTCCCCAGAGAAACAGCTCAGCTATAACTAACAMCAAGAGAGGCTCAAGGAAACAAATTACATCCCAGGAACGACCCACGTGCAGRAAAAGAGACCAGAGCAGCCACAGCCAGCAAGAAAAGCAGCCTTGCTCCAGTGGGTGGGGGTCAGGCTTTCGGCATTTCTTTCACGTACTGTTTTGTTTGTCCATTGCTTATATCAGGGTGCCAGTGGAAACAAGTGCTGTGCCTAAAATGGGAAGTCCATTTCCCCATGACAAAGCACTTGAATGAAGTCGAGTAATTTGGTGCTCTGCAGCTTTTGTGCTCTTGCTGCCCCGCTCCTCCCAAGCTCTCTTCAGCCCCAAATCTCACCACATTTCAGTGGCTTCTGTTCAATGAGAGAAAAGAGGCAAAACAAGTCCCCTTGCCTCCCTTTCAAACGCTACATGTGCAGTGAACTGGCTCCTTATACAGCTCTRTGTGTCCCACCTGCTGTTAATTGCTGCTGAGCCCCTTCAAAGGGCATCTGTTCTCAAGCAATATGGGCCCCGAGAAACAAACAGGTACTCACCACTACGCAACCAGTGGCAAAGCTTCAGCTCTCCAGCTCTTCCCTATCTCCTGAGGAAAATAGACATTTACACAGTTCTCCCTGATCCCAATTTGAGATAGTAACGCAAAGACCCGAGGAAGAGATGTACATCTCTGCAGCAGGGCAAACAGCATTACTCATTAGCTGAGGTTCATAAAACACATTGATATCTTCCGATGACAAGTCAAATAGAAAACACATTTCTGTATTGTACCTTCCAAGGGAGATTCACAGATCTCACCACACCTGTTTGAACACGGAAAACTGGGAGACAGAGCTAGAGTTCATAAAATTCATGAGACATAATGCATTGACGGTGACGGGTTATGGAATGAAGCCTTTGTGCTGCTGCAGGCAGGGGGAGAAGGGGCCAGGTCAGGCTGAAATGTCCCAATTTTGCAAAAATAAAAGCCTGGGTTAAATTATATATATGAACAATAAGCTTGAAAACACATAAATAAAAGCTGTCAAAATAATTCTCCTAAATAAGGCTGAAGGATGGGGGGGGAGAGGATTGCACAAATAACTAAAATTTCTATGGCTCTTCGACATTCATTCATTCAGTCATTCAAAAAAAAATGTTAGAAGCTTGGAGAGGGAGGAAAGAAGTAATCTTGGATGCTATCAGATTMCATCTTTCTCCAGGCCTTGTCCGAACTACATCAGACTTGGATGTCACCTCTTGCTCAAACACGCTTAACCTGAATTTCTAAAATACAAACTGAAGCACCAAAAGTTCCATAGGAACTTAAGGAAGAACTTCCTYACTGTGAGGGTGACGGAGCCCTGGAAGAGGCTGCCCAGGGAGGCTGTGGAGTCTCCTTCTCTGGAGATCTTCCAAACCYGCCTGGSTGCCACCCTGTGCCCCGTGCTCTGGGTGTCCCTGCTGGAGCAGGGGGTTGCACTGGGTGATCTCTAGAGGTTCCTTCCAACCTTAAGGATTCTATGAGTTCCTGTTCTTTATTTTGTGAGAATAATGCAGCCATTACAGCACTGACACTGTTGCTGAGTGTGCCTGGACTTGTGCTCCTTTCACTGTGACGCCTTGACAGCCAAGCAGATAAGGCTCCATGTTATCAGCAAAAGAAGCTGAAGCCAATACAACAGCACAAGCCACTGCAGGGACATTTCCAGATAGAATAAAACTTCACAAGAGCCTTCTTAACTTTCATCTACCACAAGAGCTGCTACCCAAAGCATTCTATCTAAAAACATACAGTAACCTTTAGGAGTACATACTTGCCTTCAGAAACTGCTGGCCTCAGGTCATTTTGCCTAATCTCCAACATCTCTGATGAAAAATACTCCAAGCTGCATGGTTGTACTGATACTGCTCTACCCAAGCCCYACGTAACTCCTGCTTTCTCAGCACMACTGTATTGTGCCTTTCCCAACAGTACCCAGCCTCAGAGCTGCAGGGCACTGTGTGCACAGCCATAAAGAGAGTCACAGCAGTTGTTTGGAAGGAAAGACAGCAGCAACAGATAAAGATACAGCGCAGAGTTTTTCAAGAGAAGTAAATGAGGGGCAAAACTGATGGTCCCAATGATGCATCTTACATATGGAGCACATTCTGCAATCCCTTCCCCTTCAAATTCATGTGCAATCTCCAGCAAGTGGAATGAACACAATTCAAGAAACAAACCTGCAAGCAGACTCTTCCATTAAGCACAAACGAGAACCCTGAAGCAACAGGAAAAGACAAGACTGCTACTTTCTGTCAGCTACAGAGAAGGGTTGAACTTGTTGGCTCTTCCAACACACCACACATCCCAAACCAAAGAGGCTGGCTMCTAGTGACGATACTGATACATGACYAGCACATCTTCTGCAGCGCTTTTTACAGAGCACTAAGGCAAAGAAACAAAGGTAAAATTCCACTAAGGAATGACTGCATACTGATTATCCACAAATCCATATCCACCAAACAACAATCTGGCATCAGTCACTTTCCCACTTAAAGAAATTGCAAATTGCTTATAAAAGTATCTTGCTTCAAGTAAYAGTCATTACCAGTTGCTTTACAGAAAAATGCGCAAAAAAATCAGCATATTTTCTCTGGTAAGCTGGCTAAATGAGCAATGTCTTGTGAAGTCCTGTGAGGTGACACCTTCCTTCTGGTGAAAACACAGGGGCTTGGTTTACTTATGAACAACATGCTCGTGTTTCTTACAAGAGTTTTATCCTTATGACYGCTGCTCAATGTTTGGCTTCACCAATATTACAAGACTATCAGTTTAGTTTCATCAGGTAAATGGAACCAAGTGAGTCACACACATTTTGCTTCCTCGGTAGGAAACAAGATTGCTGCACAGTTTAATCTGCTCCCAAACTGTCAGGTCCTCTGGTAGGGACTCCCAAGATAATAACACAGGGTCTGGTTTTCATTTGACTGACAGCAGATGTAGGATCTCTCTTCCCCACATCTGGTTAAATGCSGGCTCCAGAAAACAGTCCTGCGTGTTTCCGAATACAGCATCTTGCAGAGATTCTGGCTTAGGAGCCTACCACCCACCTATACAAGCACAGATTGCCTTATCCATACTAGGACCCATGGACTTAAATGATTCCCTAAAAAAAAGTTCCTCTGGTTAAGTTTTCTGATTTTTTTTAAAGTCATCAATTGGGAGTTAAAGACTGAAAYGTATTTAGCATTAATAAATATTTTCAGGCTACAGCAGTCAGGCATGCAAACCAATTTACAAAACTTGTTTTTTTGTCTAGCTTGTAAGAGCAATAATGGAAATAAATGCCTTACAAATACCGACAGGGTGGTAGATAACTTAGATTTTATAGCTGAATATAAATAGCAGGACAAAAGCTTCTGATACAGACAAACAAGTCTAACTTTTGTGATTAATAATGAATGTTTTGTATTGCATAAGAGTTTTCAAGCCCGATGGATTTCCAAGTGTTTCATAGTCTAAACATCTAAACGAATCAGACAATTCTAAATGGGGAACAGTGGGTAACACAATGCATAYCTCTCGAAATGATTTTATTTTTGTATAAGGAATAACAGAAAGTTTGTCCCTCACTAAAAAGCTTTTGAAATATTTGCAATAAAGATAATCTCATGATTTCTACCTGTATGTGTCTCATGGCTCCAAAGCGGGAAGGGAAAAGAATAAATTGGGCTGAGTACAGACAGCAAGACAGGAATGATGATGAAAATGTTAGCAAGATTTATGTCAGGACTGTGAAGAAGAATGAGGAAAAGGGAAGAGAAAGGGAAAGGCCAGAAGGCTGTGCTGAAGTTAGCACTGCCCGTTGAATCACACGCAGACGTATTTATTGGCTCTGTGCACAGAGAGTCAGAGATGGGACAGCCAAAAGTGACATCATCCAGATGAGCTACCAGGCCAAAGAGAGATATGTGAAAAGAGCTACTGGCTCTGGAGATTTCAGGGACATATGCACTGTATCCTCACCTTCCACTACATTAAAAAATCTGCTGGAAGGACTCACCAAACTGCCCAAATATTTTCCCTTTCAGTAAGTTTCTTCTCAAAAAAACATACCCAAAACATTCACTACATTTCTCTATCTACTAAATCCATTGCAATTTTTTTTATTAACATATTTTGACTTGCAATGCAAAAGCAGCTTCGAAAAAGAAAGGGGTAACAAGCATGGTGAATGGATGTGAACCTAAGGCAATTGGTAATTGATCTTGGGTAAGGAAAGAGTTTTCTCTTTCTTGGCACTCCTCCCTCAACTAAAGCTCCAAAATACTACAACTCCAGGACAGAATAAACATTAACACTAATAAAAAGAGAAAACAAATGACAGAGCTACTTACCATGTACAAGTCTTTGTTGATCCCTAGGTATTTCCCATTACCACAACCAATGTCAGCCACTATTGCCCCCGTTGGCAATGACTGGAGAAACTCTACAATTTGGGGCCATGGGCTATGCCTGGTACTGCTGAAGTGCGTTGCAATCTCTTCATACACCTTGTGTACATGTTCTTGCTCCAGCTTTAAGGCCTCCATCTCACTGAGGGGAACTGAAGGTTGTCCCTGTCTTTGCTGTCCTTTCCGGCTGTCACAAACAGATGGGTAAACTAGAAGTAGCAACAGAGAGACAAACAGGAAAAAWATTAACATTCCTTATTTATTAAGCTTATTAAAAAAAAAAGTGTAATCTTAAAATACCACAGACACTTCATTCTGTCTTTACCTTTCAAAAACAGACATGTAAGTTAAATGGCAGAGGTGCCTGATGACTTTAAAGCAAGTAATCTGTTCATGCTTATTAGAAACCATTTGCAAAGTGACCTTTTAACCTGCTGTCCAACATTAACAAGGCTTGTGCTTTCAAAACTGAGGCATTGGCATTAACATCAAAGATCATGACATCACTGCAATACGGTCTCAAAAAATGCCAGTGAAATTGGGTTTTGTGGAACTAAATGGACTTCATTTCCAATTAATTGTTCAGCCACCTATCTGTTATCATCTGTACTACCCTAAGGTACTTGGATGTCTCTCTTGCTGCAGATCAGAGTGATTCTCATTTTCTCATGTTCTAATTTGCACAAAGTTACAGCCCCCTTCAAATGCAATATATACAGCACTGTTGGTAACCTGAGGAACAGTGAATACTTCTATTTGTTACATTATTCTGGTACTTGAAGCACCCATATAACTCACTATTCCAGATTACTTGTTTACCTCTGCAGCAAGCCAAATGCCTTCCTGGGCAGAGAAAACCAACCTTATGGATTCAACTAATTCAGGGTATGGCAAAACTGAGYCCACTCAGGAAAGGCCTTCTGGACTGCCCAAAGGGATACACTGATTTGCACAAGGTTTCACAAAAGAAAGAAACATCAAAGAAAAGTAGCCAAGACTTGTATTATATTTCAGCCTTTGTATTAGGTGTAGATCCTTCCTCCCTATGGGAGGAAATAATAGCACAGCATTCTGGAATACATTCACATGGGTATTTTCACAAGGCATTCTGTTCGGCAGTTCCCAAACCCACTTCTTATTTTTCAAGTCCTACAGATGAYTTCCCAAACTCATTCAGCCCTACAAAGTTAATCACAGCCACGTCACATAAAGCTGTGCTTGAAAAAACTCACTCTTCTCAAACACTCATGACCTCTTAAGTGTTCCAATTTTGTTTAAAAACAAACCATACCAAGAAAGCTTTAGTCTTTGGCTGTATTGAAGGTTTCTGCTTTAGGTGTAGGYAGTTGTTTTTAAAATATACTATTTTATATAAATATTTTATATTATATAAATATTTTCAGAATGAGTTCAAAACAATGCTTATGTATTGGCAGTGAACAAATAACCCTTTTGGCTTAAAGATCACCTCACAATACTCACTGCAATTGCAATGGCTTCTCCTCACTTTCCTGAATGTAAATGATGTCCTTGTTTCCCTTCGATGTAATGTTAAATCTCCAACATCGGCAGTGATTGCTCCAACCTTCTGGCCAAGCTCAGATGCTTGAATGACATCATATTTTCGGGGTGTTATCCTAATGCACAGTAACATAAAGAGAGAATAATTTTATTTGCATCAGAAAAAAATTGATTTGTAGCAGATTGATTTTTTCATTATTTTGCTTTTGTTTAAAAAAAACCCTCTTCAATGAATTTAAATTGCTACAGCATTGCCTTTTCATTTTTTTCACTGCAGGAGATGCTGTCCATTGGTGACATGCCAAAATGTCTAAAGGGAGTAACTMTACTGTAGATCATCTTTATTGATCATAATCTATCAAGCAAGCATGCAGAGCATCTTATATTGCTTCTGGATTTGGYACAGATTTTAATGGCAAACAAATATACTTTTGCAGAGAAAAAAATCACAAAATTAAAGTGATTTAGAACTTATCTGGGATAACAGAACTTTCAAAGTTCTGTATTCAAAAGATACCAAAAATGTGAATTTTGATAGCTCTGCTGAAGATGTATTTCTCTCAAAGATGAGAAAAGGAAAATGAGAAAGCAAAATGGGAAACTATGCAAAACAGAAGAGATACAGCTGCACTCATATGTGGTTTGCATGTGGAATGTGGTTTCCATTTGCATGTGGAATAAAGTAGATACTCTTGGAAGAAAACTGAAACTCTTTAGCTTAGCAGTCCCATGCTATTACTGTCACTAAAATACTTCCTAACCTACTCATGAAGAAGTTTAATGCAGAAGCTGCCTGAAGACAAAGAGTTCATCTCTAAAAAACTGCCCTAACAGCGAAGCCCCTTCAGAATTTGTCTTCAAGCACTTCCTTTGATGCAGGGCAAACTCACAGTCTAAAACTGACTTTCATACTGGTTAGATGAATTTAACCCTGGTAGGTCGAGCCAATTGGGGAAGAAAGKTGCTTATATCTATTAGCAAAGTACAGCATTCAGTTTCACTTCAAATTCCTACTGGAACCTTTTGGAGGGTCTTGTGAAACTGCTGATCACTGCTGCTTAACCAGGAGGCTCGAGCTGCTTGCTGAGGAGGCTGCAGATCAGCGTTCCAGGGTTTCAGTGTCTGCCATCTTCCCTATCCCCACTGGGAAGYTGATCTTTAACCCTGGCACAGGGACAGAGAGTGCACCTGCCCAGAAATCAGGAAGCAGTGGGTTAAGCAGTTTATTTACTTAATTAATTAATCCTAAATTTTGCACGAAGGAGACATGGAGCAGTTCTGAAGACGGACATCTCCCAAAGCCAACAACAGGAAGGACAGGCTTTAATAAAAAACTGCCATGGGACATGGTAACCAATGCAGTTACTATAAAATAATAAGGTGAGATTTCCTCCACAGTAGAGCCTTCAAGTCCTCAGCTTTTGCAGATTTTCCATTGGATTTTATGTTTACATCAAATTCTTTTTTGTTCCTGGAGCTACAAACTATACAGGCAAAAGCTAATAACTTCAAAAAAATTTACTTTTCGAGGTTCTAGAATTTCAACCTACATGATTTCCTTTGACCTGTGCTATGAAAWAGCTTCTAGATAAAAGCTAGCCTAGTGCTCAAAAATGAAATACTGCACATCATCTGGCTTGTCACATAGCTGATTTACTGTTGCTGGGTCAGAAATAGTATTTTGCCAGGTTATTCAACCAAAACAAAAATTTCACAGAAAAAAAAATATATATATATATCTCTTTATGAGACAAGAAGAGAGCCTATCCTTCCTTTATTCTCCATGATGAAAAGTATAACTTATTTCTTAACTATATCTCTCTTTCAAAAACATGTTTTTCAAAAAGAACAAAAATCATTTTTCTGTGTACCTTGTAAACAGAGTTAAAATAAAGTCTCTAATTCCCTTGACATCCAGGTCTGCACAGTGAAAACAGTTCCAAAAAGAAAAAAATCCCAAACTGAACCTCTTTGCTCTCTCCGCTTTGATTTGTGAGGAGGAGATAAAAGGCCTTACGAATGATCTTAAATACACCCTGACGTTATATATGCAAAYGAATTGACTACATTTGCTTGCAGGGTGATTAATCTTGTTGATTGCAATGCCATGCTTCACTAGCAAGCTCTGTAAGCCTATTCTGTTATCTCGCCTCTTTGTTGTCCTTCCTTTCAAATGTTATTTGCAGAAAGTGTCCACTTTGCAATCAAGTCTTCACCAGGTGAAGGTGTGACAAACACCTGGGGCTGCAACAGGCAAATATTACAGGGAGAGAGAAGAAAAGAGAGATGAGGAGGAAGAAAAAAAGAACCATAACTGGAACAAAACTAAAAAGAAGACACAAAAAATGGATACTACCCCTTCTGAAATAAAGAGATCTTAGTACTTATTTACCCCAACTAAATACCTGGCCCCACTACTGCTTTACAAAATATTTATCATTCACAAAAACTACAGAAAAGAGAGACAAGCACTGGGGAAAGAAATAGCAGCACAGGTGTAGACAGATTTGGAATCTTTATTTCGAATTCAGCCTGTGTCTGTGATTCTCAAAAGATAACCACCTTCTGAAGGTGTAAGTGGGATTAAGTAATGATTTAATTCCAGTTCCTAGCAGGCATGACACACATGCAGCTCTCCCAACCAGATGGCAACCACTGCAGGTGCCCTGGAGCTGCCAGCGCTCGGGCCAAGGAGCAGCTGGTGCCATGGAGAGGCTGTCATGAAGAGAGCCAGGGCCTCAGCCAGGGCCACCCTTCCCTCCCCAGGAACTGCTGCTCAGCTGAGGCTCCCCCATCCTGCACAAGCCACAGGCCCARGCTGCGTGCCAGGCCATGGCCTGTGGACTTGGACCTGACCCATGTGCCAACTATCGAGCTCAGCTACGGCCCCAACATGCCCACCTGTCGTGGGGTTGTGTCCGACCCCAACAACTCTCTCCAGGCCAGATCCCACCGCCAACACATGTGCCTGGCACACAGCGTGGTGGGACAGGCCCCGGCTGCGAGGCCCAGCACCAGGAGCCACSAGGCCGGGCTGTGCCCTCAGAGCGACAGCCCTGAGGCCCAGGGTTCAATGAAGTGCCTGAAGTCACTTAAATGCAGCCTGATCCGGGCTCTCGGAGCCGCAGATAATCCTCCCAAAACTGACAGTATTTCACAGGACAGCAGCTCACTATAAGAAGCTTAAAACGCACGTATCTCTATTTGATCTTGTACACCAATAGACAAAGGGTTTCATTGTCCTGGGCTTCTGCAATGAGGCGTGTCAGAACCAACAGCTGCTTTTTATAACTATTTAATTTAATGAGAGAATATACAKGTGGCATAAATGGTCTATAAAAGCGAACAATGTAAAGGTCGCTGGGGAGTCCTTATTCACCCTTCTTCATAATACAAATCAATCAGTAAAATTAAAAGGCAGAAAGTCTTCTGCTGATAAAAGGATTTGGTGTTTAATCTACATAGAACATAATTATTCTCTGCACTGCTGTAACCAGTGACTGTTAGGGACAAACAAAAGAAGAAACATCCCCCCTGGGCCCTTCTGTCTAGTATGAGGGTTCACATATTCTTCTCAAGTGCGCTGCTGTCACTCTCAAGCTCACCAAGCTTTTACCCTGTTTGCCAACTTCAGTGCTCCTATTGTAAGTATTTCCCCATGGTGCACGACTTAAAAAGCGTGTATTTCATCTCCATAAGAAGCAAAGCCTCAAGACACACTTTAGGAATCTTTTTTCCAGGATCCCACATCTCTTTATATTAGTGCAGCCTTATCAGAAGCCAGAGTCGCTTTCAGGCAACTGGCAAAAGCTCAGGCAGGGCTTTGTGCCCACTGTCCTTTGTGCCCACCCATATCTTCCATGCAGAGGAGCTCAATCTCTTAAACCAATCCTCCTCCAAAGACTTAGGCATATATGGTACACTCAGAAAAGCTGTATACTGAAAAGAGGGAAGAGAAATGGTGACGCTAATTCCATTGCTTTCAATTCTTTGCCAGGTTTGAGTCACTGAGATCTTTCACACCAAACACAAACATTACAGCAACTTCCAAGGGAAACTTAATTTGTGACAGCAGGAAGGAACTGCAGCCCAGGGACTCATGATTAGCTTCCCTAAACAGGCAACTTTTCAGTTTAACCTGACCAGCATCTGGGCATGTGAGAGAATTTACACAGTTAATTATAACATTGTATTTAATTTCTTTCAGAGCCATTTTAAATCCAAAATTACAAAAACAAACTACATATATAATTCTCCTACTATCAACAATGCAGGGCCTTTTACACATACCCATGTGTCCACAGGTATCTGGATTCTCCAGACATCACCAGCAAACTGCGTTGGGGCAGCATAACTGCCACGGTACGGCCATCAGGGTGTTTGAAATCCATCACAATCTGAGAAGAAAAAATAACACTCAACACAAATGAATTTAACTTTCCCATGCACATGCCACCCATCCTAAGGTTCTGGTATTGTCTGTGCAATGTGTTAATCAGAAAATTGCCTCCATGGCTCTATCCTTCACCCTTAAAATCTCCGACTTACAGAATTGTGTTCAAAAAGCCATGGCAATCACATATATACAGACGTGTATGTATTTGTGATTTTACTTATATGCTGATTACATACAAATTGACAAAATATTTTTAGAATAAGTATTGGGTTTTATGTTGTACTTTCACAGTGATAACTTCCTTTGGGTGAAGTTCCTTTGTGTTTATCCATGGAACATTCCCATGAGGTAGGAAAGGATGATTACCTCTCAACATAACACAGATAGCTAACATGAAGACAAGGACCATTTGCTGTAACCCAGGCATTCAAAGTCAGGCATTTAAGTTCAAGGCAGTCATCCAGGCTCTTTCTGTGAGGTCTACACAGAATCAGGTAGCTATATTATACATAGAGATTTCTCCCCTTTTAAAGATCATGGCTAAGCAATTCGGGATGACCCTACGGCCTCTGAAAATGCCTATCTCTTCACAGCAGATCAAGCTGAGACCATTAACTCAGAGTAGATGCAGAACATCTAGACAGCCAGTACTAGACAAGATAAACCATTTCCCACCTGCCCATATTCACAGAGCTTTGCAGCACAGGTCCAGGTGTCTCCCAACATCCACAMTAACGTGGCAACTACTAGATCATCCTTTTATTTTTTGCCACCTGGCTTCTAGCCATGGCAATACACTGACATAACGCTCTCAGCTTTATTCCAATTTCACAGCCCAGATGGCAGTGCTGCATTTTGCTTCTGTCTGGGCTAGGAATGTTATCCTTTTACATTTCCCAAATGAGAAAAAGTCTTGCTGTGGAAAATAAGCAGCAAGTCATTTAAGCAAGCCAGGTGAATTGTGGAAGATTTAGCATAAAAGAAAAGTGATCAAAAACTATTAAAGTCAGTGGCTCCAGCAACACTGCAGAATGAACAACATGGAAGTGCTGCCATCTGATCTGTAACCTACTAGGCATATAATTTTAAAGCAAACTTATTACAGTGTGTCAGATCAAAATAAATCAAGTGGTTCTGCTTCTGTTGGCAGATGTGTTTAACAAAATAAAAACAATGGTGTAACGGCCAGTTATTCGGCCCCAAAAGCATGAGACAGACTACATAAGCAAGACTATTTTAAACACTACAAACTGCCACTTACAACGTTAGCTGTTTAACATTATGCACACCGCAGCAAACTACGACAACATTTACATTTTTAAGCAAGAAGAAAAAAAAKGTTTATTTATACTGTAATACCACCCACAGAGTGACGCAGCTCCCTCCCTGCTGAACTATCTAAATTTAAGGCAAGGAATGACGAGCATTGCAGACAATGGGGCTGAGAGGGAAGGGATACATGGGGAGGCCGGGAATCTGTTCACATGGTTACACAGCCTACCTAGGGGCTCTGATTAATGATTATGAAACATTTCAGTAGCCACGCAAATAGATAAAACAGAGTTAATAAATCCCCTCTCCGTTGCACTTGGCATTTTCCTCCAGGTCTCCTCAGAGAAGCATGGCAGGAAGAAGGAGAAACCCTCAGTGTCTCCACAGATCCAGCAGGGAGGCTGTCCCATACAGTGTGGTGAAGCACAGGCCTCCAGAAGAGCGAGCTCTCACTGGCGAGGCAACGAGCAAACGTCAGAGGATGACTAATCAGGAACAGCAAGGAAGGGAAGGAAAAACACACAAAGAGAAGAAGTGGGGAGGGCAGTGGCTGGATTCAGTGGCTTAGGCAAAAGATAGAGATATCATCTATCTGGCTCACTGCTGTTGGGGAAATGCSTGAGAGGGTAAGATAGGGCCTGGGTTCTTCAGGACTGCCAGAATAAAGTGAAAACAAGACACTGTCTAAACCCCTTAATCCAACAAACTTCTGGCGGTGAGACTGAAAACCAGATTAGTTAGTGCATACAACACCTGGCCAGCCTATTCCTCACCAACAGAGCATCCCAGCTCCATCCCAACTCCCTCCTTTTCTGTGGAGGAAAAGCTGCTGCACTGCCACCATCTCACACTTTTGCTGTGACAATTTGGGGAAAAATATAAATAAAGGATTCATTCACTTGCAAATGAGCAACTGCTTTAAGCAATCAGCAGTAAGGGAAGGAATTAGAAATCCAAATCCAGAACTGACTTTTGTTTATGTAGCAGAGATCYTCAGCTAAAACATATTAAGTTTTTATCATTTTTCTATTAAGAATAAATTTAACACTGCAATTCAGACAAACAACCAATTTGAACAAATCCATTGTGAAMATCCAAGTAAAATTACTACAACTTCTACACTTATGTTTCATTCATCTAGAAAACTGCACCCGAAGCCCTAAAATCTAAGCAACAGCACTTCTGCTATTCTTTTTCTATGGTACAGTAAGGAGCACTTAACCAGAAGGGTTTTGAAGAACTCTGTTTTTATCTTTGAAAAGCCTATTACTGACTGCAGTAGATGCCATTCCCACATTTCTGTGTGCGTCTTTATCCTGGCAGAACATTTTAAGTTGTCACTATCACATACACACACACAGAAGATTAACGCATTTTGTACTTTTTAATTTACTAAGGACTCGCAATCAATAAAGCAACTCTGCCACTGCTAAATCAATCTGCCTCATGACAGCTTTGCTCCACAGGAGCTATTTCCAATTACTATTTTTGTTTTTACCCATTTTCTTTATTCTCTTAGGTGGTAGAGTCAATAAAGATCAAATTTCCAGCTAGCCCATGGTGCATCTCCCAGGAACTGCTTTCAAAAATAAAAATAGTGGATGCTTTGATCTTATACAATTTTTACCCTCTTTCTCTATACCTGCAGAAAAAGTGCCCATATACACCAAAAATTTGAAAGAAACATACAGCTAGTGATACCTAGTTGTAGATTTAAACACCCTGTCATGATGCCAGATTATTTAAGATATAATGCTCATGACAAGGGAGCACACGAAGCAGTAAACAGCTTGCAAGGATAAGTAAACATCCAAGTAAAGCAGACACCCATATGAGGAACATTGTTCCTCTGGCACAAAATACAGCAAAATGTATATAAAAAAGAACCCAACTTAAAAAAAGAAAATACATCTTTCTTGACTCCTCAAGGAATGGAAAGTCTGCAGCGCTTTTCAGTGCAGTAGCACTGAACCTCATGAGAAAGCTGGAGGATGGAGCTGAATGACTGGGCTATTGAATAAGTAATGATCCAAAGACAAAACAGAAATAGTGTTGATAAGGTTTTCGCTGTTATAGTGTAGAAAAACAACATTCCATTTTTCTTAAACTTTGCATCTGATGCAATTYGTATTTGATGTTAATAGAATAACTTGAACTAAACATCTAAAGCTCAAAATAAAAATAAAAAATGGGCTGCAAGAAATTACAACATGGAACATTTTTCAAGCATGTGATATTGTTTGCTMAATTTTCGGAGAGCTAGGATGCATTATCAGCCTACAGTTTCAGTTCCCCACATGTAAAACACATGAAAAAGAATGTCTAGTTCAGAAACACACAGGAGATTTAAAGCACACAAACAGGACTCAAGCAGAGCACTGGGGCTCTAGGCAGCAAGAGCTGTGAGGCTGCTGGTCTGCACAGGATTGAAGCAATCAATCAATAATCACTTTCACAGTGCCTTTGCTACAGAAAGTATACTTGCATAAATTGGAAGTTAGGAAGATGCCGAGTTTTAAATGGAAAGAAAGTGAGATCATCTTCCCCAAATAATCCGTACCATAGAAAATGTATTTTACGCAACCAACACTGGATGTTTAACATCCTGTATCATGCATGGATACAGGATACCAGTATCTCTAYACAGAATAGCTATTCTGTACTTCCTCCATGATCCAAATTCCATTCCCATCTGCACTCCATTTGCAAGATTCAGGTAGTGCACAGGTACAGAAAAACTACTGCAATGTTCAAGCTAGCTCCTGTTGGGCAGGGGAGTTTCCATTCCTCTAATGGCCTTGTCTCATATGGAATATATACTACTCTCCTTTTATGCTCAGGAATGTATCTCACTAATCACAAGGTGATAGAAGTGCTTCAGCCAGTGTAAAACAGATGAGCAGAGCTGGGATATGCCATTAATTCCTGCACTGTCCCATCTTCAGCATCTCCTTGCTGCCACAGGAGAACAACTGCAATGCTGAACTTGTGCCACTTCAGAAACACCTATATTGCTAAACAGAAGATGGTTAAAGACAATTCCCAGTCTTGAGGTCGAATGACTAATACTGCTCAGATCCACACAGCTCAATGGGGTCACACACACAGGTTTCATCCATACTGTCTTGTGGGAACAGCTGTCATATTGGTCCCATAATTAGTCCCATAACTCACTTAGATTGTACACTGGAAAGACTTAGTTCATCAAATAAAGCGCCAACGAGAAAAGTAATAGTAAAGCATGGTGGAAAAATCAGTAAGTGGCCCAGTGTTTAGGCCCTCACTCAGCTTCACAGATTCCAAGATTCCTGATCGCTCCAGAATATCAGCTCCTTAATGTACAGCATAAAAATAACCCRGCCTTGGCCCTGCCTCCTGGAAACATACCTGAAGAATTCAGCCTATTTCCAAAATGGTACAAAATAGCTGGCATGAAGGTGTCATTACAGTTTGTGTAAGAGTATTGCAGGGAAAGCTGATCAGTTCACAAGGTTTAACTCTGATCAGGACAGAGGGGCTTAGTGATTTATTAACACGTAATTAACTGAGAATCAGTGAACTATAAAATTCAACAACAGGATCAGCAAAACAGCAGACAGAGCACAGCACTAGCCACCTACAAAATATGAACCACAGTGCAAATTCTGAAGGTCCTTGTGCAGCCAAGCCCCAAGGAGCCAGCTGCACACGCAGTAGGGCACGCACGGCCTCCCCACGCGCTGCAGGGGC